TAATGCGTGTGTGTGTGTGTGTGTGTGTGTGTGTGTGTGTGTGTGTGTGTGTGTGTGTGTGTGTTTTGTGTGTCTAAACCAGCACTGTCATGTTCCGAAAAAAAAACTTTGAAAATGTGTGGAAGAAGTACAGATGCCATCTCAGAAACAGATCGCGGACATCGGGCTGTGTCTCTGCTGGTCTTTTCTGGTTTCTTTCTTGCCCATTTCTCAAGGTCATGTGTTGAGCGAGCCGAAGTTGTGGTTTCCTCTGTGCTCTGTCACTGTCTATAATTATCTTTGACAGTGGTCTTCTTTACTTGGATTAACGTTCCGGAGAGAAAACAGAAGTCGTAAATAGCATATATGTCATAATTATTATTATATGCATTATATTATGCTATCGCTCGTGTCCACATAACAGTCACGCTAAAATTATATTGATCGATATGAGCCTTGCATTTTTGGGAAGTGTTAGACTTTCCAAGGGCGTTGGTGTTAAGTCGTGTTAGTCTCAGGGGGAAAAAAGATTTAATGTTTTTTTCTATTTGTATTTTTTTTCTTTTTTTTTTCTCGTTTTTTTTTTTGGGGGGGGGGGTTCACAGCTTTAGACAAGTTCTCAAATATTCAACTCACTTTACAAGTTTGCTTTCTATATAATACTTAAACTCTCAAATAATATGTTTCTGTCTTGTCAGCTAAATAATAGTTTAACTCTCAAATATGTGCTTCGCTGTACTGATATGATGCCTATATAATCTTTAAGCTCTCAAATATTTTTCTCGCTCTGCCAGTAAAATATTTAACTGTATTATATAATAGTAGCACTTAATTTTTTTTTCACTCTACCAATATAATGATATTTAACTAATGGTAGTCAAGCTCTCAACTCTCTTTTTTTCACTCTACCAATATGATATTTAATTTAACTTATAGTAGTCAAGCTCTCAACTCTTTTTTTTTTCACTCTACCAATATGATATTTAATTAACTTATAGTAGTCAAGCTCTCAACTCTTTTTTTCTCACTCTAACAATACGTTGTCTATAATGTTTGTTTCCCTTTATCCACTCCCCAGGATGACAAGGACTGTGACAAGCCCCCTCCAGTGGAGATTCAGTACGCCAGTAAACCACAGCTGCCCAAACTCTCCAAGAAGGAGGTGAGACTAATTAAATGCTGTTTGTGTGTGTGTGTATGTATGTGTGTGTGTGTGTGTGTGTGTGTGTGTGTGTGTGTGTGTGCGTGTGTACCTCCTTCTACTTCTCCTTGTTTCTCTCGCTTTCTCTGTCTTTCTCTTTCTTTACCCCCTCTTTCTCCTTTTCTGTCATTCTGTCTCGCTCTGTCACTTTCCCCATCTGTGTTGTTCTTCTCTTCTCTCTCCTTCCCTCCCCCTTCCTATTCTCTCTCTCTCTCTATCTCTC